ACGCTGTGAGCGCTTGGGGATCCCACGACCGACTGTGCACAGAATGCTGGCGGCTCTCGAGAGTGATGGCAATGTTGCGCACAGTGAAAATCGTCACCAAATTTGCAAAGTTCATCACAGCGGCAGCTGGTTCGAATGGCGACCGGAATGGGAGGCTCGTCGCATCTCGATATCATCTGATCTCGACGGCGCACGTGAGAAAGATCTTGGCAGCAAATCACGTCCAGTGCCTGATGCGAAAGAGGACACCCCTGATCACCTCAAAACAGGAAGTCGCTCAAAACAATCGCATTAAAAAGCTGCTGCGGATGCCTGTCGAATCGAGAATATGGTGGCGTTATCATGGACGACTGAACCTACTTCATTTTCCACGGGAGCCAGGGAAGCAGTTTTGCAAAGTGAGTTGGTTTGGTGGGCTGAACCGTGTAAAATGATAAAACCTACCCGAAATTTTAACCAGAAAAAACGTGTTTCTCCCCAGATTTGGCCAACTTTTGTCTAAAAGTTCAAGGATGGAGCCCAAGCTGGGAGTCGGGGCCACCTTACCCCACCCCCCACCGCCAATTAAAATGGAAACTACACCCCTGATGGGAGCCATATGCAGGCAAACCTTGAATACTTTGTTGGACCTGATGGACACTCTCTTATTGAAGCATAAATAAGGTCAGAGAACAAGTTTACTTGTAAACTCTCGGTGTGGCTTGCCATCTCTCCCAGACGGGTAACACATTCGTCCTTAACGCCCAACAAGTTAATGGCAACGTAAACCACGAAAAGTATTTATGAGATGAGCTTTTACCTCTTTTTGGATGACAGCTATCGTGCCGGGGATGCCCTGGTCTGGCCAGGCTTACCAACGCCCATTATCCCGCGAAAAATCGGGGCTGCCGAAAGAAGCCAAAGTGCCGGATGTGCCATGAGACACAAATCCCACTGTGTGAGCCAGCTACGTCACACTGAGGACGTCCGGGATATCAGGGGACTGGTATGCAATATCTGACCTCGCTCGGAGGGGCAGGATGCGCCAGAATGCGATCATTGCCGGCGCAGACCTCGCACTTCCTCACACGGTCTCAATCAACGGAATATGGTACGCAATCCGTGCCGCATTGGTGTCAGCAGATGCACAAGGTATTTGTGTACACGTATTTCACCTTCAATAACCACTATGCATGATGTAATGAAAGTGTTGGCCTCTTACCCCAAAGGCGCTGCTTCTTTCGGCGCAGAAGGCCTTGGATGAATCATTGGCATGTGTCGCTTCAACATCCTCCGTTTACCTCTGAAGCTACAGTCCGGGTATCCACAAACAACGAGCCTCTTAGAGCGGCGGGGCTTTCTGACACTTTTGCCATGGACGCCCCAAAATATAAATCCTAGAAGAGACGAACACCGCCTTAAAACCTGACCATCAGCTACGTCTTTCAAACCTGTGAGCTTGTCATGGAACAAAACCAGCCTTACCCTACAGCCTTGCGCTGAACCTGATTCATAACCGCGTTGCGAGCGCTCGGAGCTGCCGGTCTCAAACGGCTCGAGAACTTGAACCGCTCCGTAGCAGACTGATCACGTTCGTCGCAAGTTGCTATGGTCAGCCACAATTCGTACGACTGGTAATGAGCCCAGTTTTTTATATTGTATACTGCTGAGTATGTAAAGTACGTCTTGGCTGAAAACATCTTTGAAAAACACTGATCTGGGGGTAATTGGAAAATCACGGTGTCACCGCTGATCTGGAGAGTCAGCACTGATATAGTATAATTTTTAGTATATTCAGTGACCAGCAGTGTTTGTCTTGGATACGATCGATATTTCCAGGTGTTCCAGTGCCTATCACTGTTGTCTCCAGACGCGTAGTCAGGATTTCCGTCAAAAGGGACCGTATCGCGCCAATGGGTGCTCCCAGCCAAGGGTCAGGCCCCCGTCGGTTGAGGTCGTGTTTTTGACATGTGGACTGCTTAAGCTCGGCACGCTGTTTTGATGACTCGGGATCAGCGTTTTGCATTTTAGCCGTCCAACAGGCGCCTTAAATCTCCAAAATGTGATGGCGCCTTCGACCCCAGAGACCCTGCCATCTCCGAGAGGTCATGGCTTTAAATCCCCTCCCTTGGCTAGCCTAAGGTTGACTCGCTGTTTTCGCCTGCCCATTCATTTGAAAGTAAAGTATGTTGTTTTTACGGCCGAATCGTTTTGTAGGCTATTTTCCAGTTCTCGGTTAAATGACACCTAACGTACTATTATTTATTTAACACGCGCTCGGGTGGGGGTCAATTTAACCCCACACAGTTTTTCCGGAATCATTTCCGAACGGTGTGGCGTGGCCGCTCGACATTTTGCATAGCAATCGAGAATTGCATAGCGGATCATTTAGTATAAAAAATGTACATGTACCTTGTAAAGTCAGTGACTTTTGGCAGTTCAAAGTCAGACCATGGATTCAGTGCAGACAATTTGGAAGGAATCGTTCAAATGGTGCAACAACGGATTGGCAAAATCAAGCAGATTTTACATAGTTTCTTAGGCAACTCAATAATTGAATTAAGAAATTGCATCGATTTAGGGTCAAGTGTATAGGTCATACTTAAGTCAAAACTAACCTGCTTTTACTTTGGAGCTTACTGTATGGGTAGTTTCTGGTGCTCAGTCTGAATCCATTGATAAAGAAACCACACTATACGTGTCCCATGGACTTCTTAAAGGTCAGAATAGGTTACGGACCTAAAATGACACAGGTTAGTATTTTGTTTCTGGGGACATACTGCCTAGCGTAATCATTGACGCTTATTCAAGTGCAAAAATAAAAGCGAACTGGAATTATTTTGGTCACCATGCCTTTTGCAATGTCAAACAAGGTCACTGAACTCTAATGATCACCAGTGACCTTTTGCTTAGAATAGGTATTTAGATCCACGGTGGCCGCATGCGAAGGTCTGGGACGCTTTGAACATCAATCTGGAGTTTGACCTTGTTTGATCTTGTTTGACCCGCAGGTCATGTCCTACGAAGCTCAAATTTTGGCACAAGTATGTTCACCTAAAGGTCAACATCGCTGTGAATTTGATGTCTCTAGCTCTCTTACTTTCTGAGATCTCAGGGATGTCGAATTGACACCCTCACACCCAAGGGAAGGGTATTCAACCGACCACCAGGGCGCGTGTGTAGACTAAACAGCGTTGTCTTTTAACTCTTAGGACACTTCTTGTCAGTTATTTAAAAGCAATAACTCGATGAAAATGAGATTAGGATCAAAACCCGCATATTGAGCACATCTACGACTACGATCCACGTCGAAACCGAAGTAATGAGCCAGACCGCAAAGTCCACCGGATTCACCATTCCGTCCGGTGCTAGTCTGCTGCTGGTCTGCCGGGCGTGTATTTGCGTCGCTGGCTCGCCCCACGCGGACCGTGCGCACTGCACCGAGCCAGCTGGCGAGCGTCGTTAGCGTCACACCTCTCCAGCGGCGGGGCAGGCTGACCTGGAAACGGCCCCGGGGTGGGATCGCCCCGACGCCCACTGGCCGGGGACGGGCCGGATCGAGGCCCGCAGTATTGTCACCCAGCTGGCGGCGACACGGGGCACTGGAAGCGGCAGAATGGGCTTGAGTACATGCATTGGCATGGTGAAGACGCTGTTACTGGCCCTGACCTAAGTGTATGCACCACGTTCTGTTCCTTGTCTCAGATGGAAGAAAAAACGACAAAAACCGTCCAATCAGGCAAAGGCGCCCCAGAGGGCGCCTGGCACCACTTTTTGCCATGCCGATTGCGTTTGCAATGTCTTTGCGTTTTTGCAGAGCTTTGAAGCATGCATTGTAACTAGTAATCACGTTAAGCTCTTCCTATATTTAATTTCCCTAATCAGTTACAGACCAGTTCGCTGTTTAATTCTTACCATTCAGCAATCTGTCTCGTCTATAATCCGCCACTTCCGTCGGTTCCACAGCCATCAAAAGCCAAACCTATGATCAAAGCGTTTCTTCGGAGAAAACTACCCTTAAAACGTCACGTTTCCTGCCAGTGATCGTGGCTGTCAATCAAAGCCGCAACAGCGGGAGCCGTGAACGACGATTAACTCCACGACGGTTAACTCCACTCCACCGCATTAGCCAGCGCTGCTGAAACACCCGGTGCCAGGCGCCGTGGCGAAACACGCCGTCCGCCGCCGCGCCCGTGTATTGGGACCGGATCGGCTTCAACACAACAGCAACACGTACGAGGACTCGGGCTTGGCCGGCTTCCGGACCCAGCCGCCAGGCGGCCGCTCGGCGGGGGCGGTCTGGTCAAGCACACCGCATCACGGGACCGCGCGGCCGCAGGCGCACTGGCCACACCGCCGGCAGTCGCCGGAGGGCTTACGCCGCAACTCAGCCCTCGGAATGGCAGGCGCCCGCGAAACGCGGGGCGTACACACACACGTACCGTGCGGTTTCTGAAACAATGAAGTGACGGTGGTGGCTCGAGGATGATCCACCGTCGCTGCCAGCGACTTCGCTCGCTCCCGGCCACAACACAAGCGAGGGCAGCCAGCCCGTCATCGTCCTTCACAGATCCGCGCACGCTTCACTCGCCACGGACCGAAGCTCGCTGGCAGCCAGGCGAGGAGCGACCCGCCCATCAGGCCGGTGCCGGGCGCGTTCAGCCACCCATCGGGTCAGGTGTCATCGTCGCGAGGCAACAGCACGGGTGCAGGGCGGGCGGCGTCAGACTCGCACGCGCTATCGCTCACGCCCCACGCGTTCGAGCGTCAGAGTGCCGTAGACGAGTTCGCACTCGGCACCACGGCGTCTTCACGGCCATCTGCCCCCAACACATATCGCGAGATCATCGGCGGGTGGTGCGTCTGCGACCCCCGCCGGACACCTCGTTCACAGCGGCCCGGACCGGCGGCGGCCCGCCGCGGCGCGTGAGACCCTGGCAGTGGACGCCGCCGCTGCTCAGATCATGAGTTCGGCGGCCGGCGGCGGCAGCAGGGCAGGCTCGGGCGGCGGCGAGGGCGCCGGTCAGATGGCCGTCACCCGCTCCACGTACGGCGAGTCGGCGCCGGGCAGCGCCGAGCCGGTCGACAGCCGCGTGACGGACGTCACCGACTTCAGCTGGCAGGCGCGGCCCGACCGCAGCCCCACCTGGCAGAACCGCACGCAGGCGCGCCGTGCGCGAGCCAGGATACGGCCGAAGGCCTCACGGAATTCGACGTTGAAGATCGAGTAGATGATGGGGTTGAAGCTGCTGTTGCTGTAGCCGAACCAAGTGAGCGTTTGAAACACGAGGCGTGGCACGCATGTCTTGCAGAACGCTGCCACGATGTTGACGCAGAAGAAGGGCACATAACAGACGAGGAAGATGCCCACGATGAAGCCGACTGTGGTGGCCGCTTTGCTCTCAGACACGTGACACAGGTTGCAGGCGGGCGGTGGCGCCACGCCATCGATGGTGCCGAACATCACCGGCTTGCTCAGCGCCTTGATGCTCTCCACGTGCTGCTTGGCGTACAGGTAGAGCTTGCTGTAGATGGCCAGCATGACGATGCACGGCATGTAGAAGCTAATGCAGCTGCTAACGACTGCGTACAGCGGCGTGAGATCAAGCGCGCACTGCGGCAGGCCGCGCTCGTCCACTGGCTCGGCGGCGGACGCGCGCTGCGGCCGGTGCAGGTCCAGCGAGATCGGCAGAAACGACACGAGCGCGGCCATCACCCAGATGGCGCCGATGCTGAGCGTCACCACCCGCTTGGTCATCCAGCGGCCGTAGCGCAGCGGGTCCTTGATGTGGATGTAGCGGTCGAGCGAGATGGCGCACAGGTTGAGGATGCTGGCCGTGCTGCACATGACGTCGAAGGCGATCCAGGTGTCGCAGTACTGCGGACCGAACGGCCAGTACTCCAGCAGGTCGTTGGTGAGCGCGAACGTCATCACCAGGCAGGCCAGCGTCATGTCGGCGAAACTGAGCGACACGATGTAGAGGTTGCCGACCTTGCGCAGGTTACGGTCCGTCAGCACGGCCACGCACACCAGGATGTTGCCCGACACTGCCATGATGATGATGATGGAGAGGAAGGTGCCGATGAAGATCTGGGCGCCCAGGCTCATCGAGCTGACGTTTTGCAGGTCCACCGGTAGATCGCTGAGGCCTTCTGTGTCGTTCAGCAGCGCCATTTTAACGCCGCCGCCAGCCTGTCCAACGCTCCCACCAAGCACTGAAACACGGCCACTACGTCAGCGAAGCTATCTGCGCATGCAGCGCAGGCCGACGTGGCATTCAAAGGAAACCGCAGCCCTACAGTAAGCTCAGTTGGTGCGATCTTTCCTGGAATCGCAACGGATTAAGTATGACTCATACAAAATGTGGTGTTGTTTGATAAGTAAGCAATGTTTACACATCGGTACTACTTTGATGTATGTTCGCTACATATTATACGTGATAGGAATAACACGTAATACCCATACATGTTATTACTGTTACGTATCGGTATTTCTTTGAGTGCATTGTGTATTGGGAAACTGACTTGCGTTAAGTTCTCATAAAGGACAGGTGGTTTTAAAAGCAGGGGCTGACGGCATTGCTCATAGTCATGAAAATATCCTAAAAATTTCTGGAAGCCAGGATTTTTGGTCGCAAAAGGCTTAATGTGAAAATGTAAAGTCTTCTTTCCCTTCCAGGAGAGCGTGCTTTTAACTGTAATCAGTGCTGGTAATGTTACTCTCACTCTTAAGCCCACCTTGAATGCGAAAACGGTGTGACCTCTTGGTGGGGAAGCCTGCGAACGAATATTACGTCAATGAATGCAGGCTGGCCCTTGAACACAGAAGTATTATTGAATAAGGGTCGATATTGATGATAATAATAATAATAATAATAATAACCTGCAACTGGTGCGCTGGAGCTGCAAGTATGGGGGAAAACTACCGATGCGTAGGAGCAGTTGGAAACACTAAACCGATGGACACAGTTAAGCAGACAGTTCCCATCAGCCTCATGAATTGTGATGGAAAATTAGTGCCGTGGTTGTCGTATCGCTGATGGAGTTTCGTAATAAATTCCGGCAGCGACATTACGATGAGACCCGACGGGACACTAATCGAACTTATGACACCAAAGGGGTGGCGAGTCCCTGAGGACAAGGGCCTCCTAACGCTGCACGGTAAATGGGGCTTTCTGAGCCCGGCTAAGCAAGAATATGGGGTAAACAGAGGTACGTGCTATCCAGCTCACTTTGCTTTCGAGGTACAAGCGGGCACGCTAGCGAGAAGCTTCCGCTAAGTGTTTGCTTGCAATTCACAAGCCAAAGAAGCGTGTGAGTCTCATTGTTATTCCGCGGGGTCTGGCACACCGGCGGTGCTGCTCGGAATTTATTGCAAAACAGGTTGGAGCGGGGCACGGCTGGAGTGGTGGAAGGTGGACAAACAGCCGATTGGTAGGATAAAATGACGATTTACAACACATAAAATAACGATTATTTCTAACAGACCTTCTTCGCGGGTACGACGGGAAAAAACAGCCAATGCTCTTTGAAGCGCGCTCTTCATTCCAGCTTCGTGGGGATTTGGAATGTCATTGGTGAATCGGTTCGATTTGTTTCAGGCAGACACGTTCAAACTTGTACTACAATTACATGAAAGACTCTAAGTCAAGCACTTAATTCAAGCAAAATAGCGTTACTTTGCACCACTGCGAAATGATCAAAGATCGACAGGTCCTTTAGGATAGAGGCTTCCGCCTCGATCTTCCAACTTCAGACGCACACGAAGAGCACTTGTAGGGTA